TCCAATGTTTTATAATCCCCAAAATATATATAATAACGTCGTAAAAAAATAATTCTTCAAAACTTCAAATATTCATAATTTCATTATCGATAATTATATAAGAGCAGAAATCATTTTTTAAAACAATAAATCACATTGCGCAATAGTTGAAAAAGAAAAGAAGATGTTTCGAACGAGATAAATAATATATTTACTTCAGATTCTTGCCTCGATCGTTTAATGTTTCTTGATTTGCAATTCAATTAAAAAGATATCGTTGATAAAAATATTTTGCATCAAATAAGAATGTTAAAAATATAATATTCCCCAATGGCGTGATCAAGCGTGGAAAAATAAGCAGATTATTTATCGTTGTATCGATTTGTACTTTTTATGAAAATGCATCGAGAATGATATAAAACGATACAGACGTTTCAATGTTCAAAAATTACGTATACGATTACATATGTGATCTGTTTGTAATTATAGACAAATTAGTTTCTAAAATACATATTTTAATGATTTTGTTCCGTTCATTCAAGAATTCAAGAAACAGCAAGCCAATTTAATGGACACGAAATTTAAAAAAATATACATATATAATAATTAAGAGTGAAGAACGTCGGTAAGCAGGCATCGATGGCTGTGTTCATCGACCGATTGGGCCAGCCTTGTGCGAGAACCGATAAGATTGGCAGCGAAACGGAACTCGAACGAGAGCAATGGTTTCGTTTCGCCGCGATATCATACCTTTGTAATAAACTCTGTCGAGGACTGCATTCCTCTGCTTGCCCCCCTTTCCTCCCTTTCGTTTTCGTTCACCGGCGATGACGATGACGACGACGACGAGGTGGTGGTTCGTGATTTTTACCGTGACAGAAAGTTGCGAAACGAGATAAGACTAGATGCCGGAAGATATTTGAGAAACCCTGTCGTTTGCTACAGAAGATTAAATTTACGTGAATGATCGATAAATCTACAAGATGAAAAAAATCCGTCACAGATTTGCATAATATTTGATTTATAAGTCAAATATTCCATGAAATCGTATTTTTCTTATTTTTTCTCGATCTTTTCGAAAGGAAGTTATAGTTAATTAATCGAAACATTTTTATATTTATATTTTCCTAGATGAACTGCTTATACTTTGTTAGAGAATAGCTGAAAATTTTCGATTTTTTTAAAAGCACAAAAATTAGCTTACGAATCGAATACTTTGCGATAATCTATTTTGGTGAAATAACGTTTGAGGATTAAGATCTTTTTTTACGCGGCAAAACAAATATCGTCGTATTTGCATAATGGATACCTATCGTACACAGAATATTACCTATTATTATCTTTATTTTTTCCTTTCTCTAAGCTCTTGCACAAATATTTTTTCTCTTTGTTCGAGCTAAGCGTATTATGGTTTATTTCTAATGCGTATTAAAACGTATTTTTTCACCTCTTCTTGTTTCATCTTCTAATAAAAAATCACCAGCTTCGAAGGTCACGAGACTCACACGTACATAAAAGGTTCAACTATCCTAACATTTACGTAACCTTCTTCTTCAAATGATAATTGTGCGATTCTAATTATTTCTATAATATTTTTCCCAGAAAATCATATATGATAGAAATATGAGATTACGTGACAATATTTTTTATTATGATTAATAATAAAATTTTTAATATTACAAGCAAATTACAAAATTTTTATCCCGTTTTTATATTTAACAAAATAATCTCTGATCTTTTCGAGTAAACGTAGCAAGAAAAAACTGGGAAAAATAATCTTCGTGTTAACACTTAACACGTCTTTTACGCGTTAGCTCTTTAAAATGCAAACATTTTTCTTATGATATAACAATACCTGTATAAATATTTATTTCGTATCGTGAGAAAATTTTATTCTTCGATCGAAGCAGTATTCGAGTTATCCAAATTATCACGTATACAACGCGATACATGTACGCTATTTATTCAAATTATCGTTCTTTCTATCTTTTCCTGTGTATCAAAATAGCCGCCGATCAAATTATAAATACTCCGTTAAATTAAATTAAATTACGAATCAAGAGGTGATCAATAAAAGAAAACAATAACAACCAATTTTGCTAATGTTTGAATCGTGTTGTGGATCGAGATATACGTACTTTTTGATTATGCGTATAACAGGATGTCATTATGCTAAAAAAAAAATTTCCTAATGGAGGAAGTGCAAATTTCCTGCATTTTTTAAGTCTCGACCAACCGATTGTGAGGTAATACTTTGGCTACAACTCAATTGCATTCTATGCAATTTTATTGCGCATTATAATACAACTTATTTTTAAAGACTTAATTAGGAATATTGAAAATAATAGAGACTGTAATAAAGAAATTGCTTTATGATAGTTATATAATATATGTAGTAATAAAATTTTAAATATGAAACTTATATTTCTCATTTTTTAAATATACTCTAAAAAAAAAAAAAAATTCTATTCTACGTTTCATTCCCTGTTATAACGTTTATTTATTCAGTCATTTCAGCTTTCCAATCTTCCACTCTATGATCCACGAAGTGTGACTGACATTTTGGCTTAATGTTTTTTCTAGACCTATACGTCGAAATAACCTTTTTTTTTTCATCTTTATTAAGAAAATCAAGAGAGGAGAATTTAGGAAGAGGAACAGAGATGGTACAAGGGAATAAATCATTACACAAACTCCATTATTTTGTAATAATAAAATGTATTAAATAGATAGTGTATTGTTGGCAATACTTATCAAACTACTAATTTTCTTCATTCGTGTGTTTTTTCGGTAAATGAAACAAAAAAAAAAAGGGGTCGTCTCGCGCAGATCGACGTTCACATTCCGCATGGAGGAGCGATAAACAGGAAGGAAGGATGGAAAAAAACAAAAATCATAGAAATCGAAAAAAAATCAATCGTGCATTCATCAGTCGAACAAAATCGTTTTCTTTTTTTTTTTTTTTTTTTTTTTTTTTTTTTAACCTCACGAGCAGAAAAATCCCGGATAAAAATTCTCGTTGTCCTCCAATCGAAACATGAACATCGCTCCTCGTAACCGATGACCCATATTTTCCTTTTTCTTTATTTTTCAAGGCTCGCCATTCCTCTAATCAACGAAACTCTATGTGCATTTATCACCTTTGTGGTCCCATTGTGGATTAGACCGAAGTCGTTCGAGCTGTGTACCACGTTTTTTGTGTCGCGACCAACGCTCTCTCGTCGAAAAACGAAAAAAAGAGAGGAGGGGGGAGGGGGAGGGGAGGAGGATAGGAAAAAAGAAAAAAAAGAAAAACAAAAACAACCTTGGATCATCCCCGTGAAATCTGGTTCGAAATAATTGGAAAAATATCGAAATCGACTCGATCGAGTTAAAATAAATTTGTATATATGTTTATGTTGTTCGAGTTGTCGACCAGCGGAAAAAGATGGCCGACGAACATGGCCGACGAACGCGACGAAAGGAAGATTTCACGGCGAATCTCTGATGGAGCGTATACGCGATGGCGTATGTCCGGTCCGAACGACTTCCGCCAGCCTATCAATTGGCTCCCAAAAATCGCATTTCGTTCTCTCTTAGTACGTATCGCTAATTGTCTCTCTCTCTCTCTCTCTCTCTCGCGCGCGCGTGCTCACAATTTCTCTCTCTCTCTCTCTCTCTCTCTCTCTCTCTCGCTCTCTCGCTTTCGTCGAACATGATACATAATAATATATCTCCCGCGCAAAATATTTTTTCTCGAACGACCATCGATCTCGAAAATCGATGCTCGTATGTATCACAAGGAGAAATTAAGTATACACACTTTCGTCGTTAATTAATTCTTTTTTTCTTTTTTTCCATTTTTTTCTTTTTGTATTTTTTGATGGGATTTGCATACCCTGGTTGGTTCGGCACACCTAATCCCGTAATCAGGAATTAGATAACGTCCCCACGGGGCAAGAAAAAAAAAAGAGGAAAGGTGGGGGAAGGGGAGAGAAATACGTTTCTTAGGCTGGTCTCGGAGAAATGGAAGAAAATATATGATAAAAAAAAAAATAATAATAATATAATAATATTAATATTAATAATAATAGTTATAAGAGATAAAGGATCTTAAGGGTTTGCTAGAGTGATCGTATCGGTTTTCCTCTGAGAGCCAAGAGATCGACCTGTC